AAATCAATTATTTAAATTTAATATTAATGTCACAACAAAAAATTGTGCCGATTAACTTCAAAAACAATAAATTTAAAAATTACAATCCAACCAATCATCTAGTATGTGAAATTATTTTTATTGAAATATAGCTATTAAGTTAATAACAAATCAACATATTGAAAAAGAACGTTCATCATTAAAATTTAATTAAATTCCAAGTTTTTTTCTTTCTTATAACTACATTTGTGTTGTGATTAGTGATTTTCTAGAAAGTGTTAACAATTTTTTTTTTTTTTGACGTAGTGTTAACAATTGTTTATGAAATAGACTATGCATGTTTTTGGGTGTCTATAACAGTGTCGGCTTGTTCAGTGACATACCTAACATGTTAGGTTTCATTAATCTCATATGTTGCCTTATTGAAAGAATATCAACTATTCTATAAAGAGGGTGAAACGACGTGATCCGACACATGGTCTTAATCGATCTAGAAGCAAAGGTAAAGATGCATATTCTATAAATATGAAGAGACGAACCTCTAAACATGGGAGGAAGAAGCAACGGAGCAAAAAACTGATACTAGAAAAGATCTTCGTAAGAGATCATGAGAACGCTCCATTCTCCGAAGAGAGTTCTAACTCAGCTTGCCCTAGGAACCATTCTCCTTCTTCTACCATTTTACTGAGTAAATGGCATATAGCGCTCGTGATCTTAAAAATAAACTAAATTCTCACTCACTTTCTGATTGGATGTTTGACTTTAGTGTCAAATAGTCTTCGGGAGAGACCCATTTTCATCCTCTTGAAGACCGTCTTGATCATGTTATATGTTAGGTGTCGCCGTTCCTCGGACATTTAGTTAGACTGTCTCCCAAAGACACTACCCGTGAAAGGTGCGTCCTATCCACCATATGATAAAACTCCTCCCGATGCCTGCAAAAGTATTCACCTTTAGCATCACAAATTCTATAGCATGAAATTCCCATCCGATAGATCTGAAATCTAGCTCGAATACTTATATATAGTTTATTGATATATATAGTTTATTGATATGTGGTGGTGTCGTCATTGCGTTTCTACTCAAATTTAAAGTCAATATATTGTTGTTTAAAAGGTAAAACATAATTAAAATGAAAATATATAACAAATGCAACTATCAGAGATTAAGATGACATAATAACTATCTCATTTCAAAAAAGAAAATCGTATTTCGAACTATCAAAAACAATCCAAGTCAATATAGCTTAACCCATATAAGCTTACAATTGAATTTTTAATATTAAAAAGTAAACAAAATGTAACAAATTTAAACTAAATCGGGGTACCACTGTACCACACATGTCCAAATATTATGACTACCATTTTTGAAATACCATTTTTCAAAAATACCACATTTTTGAAAAATTTCAAAAATGTCACTAATATTATATTTATTTATTCAAAATATCATTTATATTTGAATTAACTATGTTATGGTAGGGTTTAGTTTTGATGGTTTAGGGTTTGTTCGACCAAGAAAAAAGATTTGTTGGGATCAAAATATT